AAATATGATCAAAATTCAAATAAGCTACCAGCATTTTGTAATATAACAAGTTAACAACCAACCACATAGGAATTAAACTGAGAAATCAATCAAATGTACAAACCTTAATCAACAACAATTACTGAATTTTCATCACAAAGAAGGCCATTTCTTGGAAGCTAGCTTGAATTGGCTTGTTAATTGCTAGAATAAAAGAAGATGATGAAGAAAAGATGGGTTCTCTTCTTTATTGCAGGAGAATGCAGCCACACACTCTGCCGTTGCTATTTATCAGCCTCACGTGAAGCTTTGTTTTTTTATTCTCACTGTTGGATTTTTTAAAAAGATGCCATAAACACTGGTGACAGTTTTTCTCAAAAAACTAATAGTTAGAATGTAAAAAAGAAAAGAAATCACCTTAACAAGCGTCAAATATCATCAAATGTCATCTGAAAATAGAGTTAAATCCACAAGATTTGTAATTTTGATATTAGTTATGCAACTTTAGTCATTTGCAAAAGTGATATTGTAATTAATAAACCTATCAAATTTAAGGACTTTCTCACATGAAAACATACTTCAAGGGAAAAATTGGTATCGGAAAATATAGTGATGACGTCAAAATTTCCATCCATAAGTCATGTACTTTTTGGTGGAAAAGTCTTTAATGGAAGTGACTAAGTTATACTACCCGATGGGGTTATGGGACTAGGCCCAATGCCTAATCGGCCCAAGCCCCGAACTGGGATCAACATGCCCAACCAGCGGACCCAGCAATCCAGATCTCAAGTCGGCTCAATTGATCAAGCCCATCAAGGAGCGGAGGTCCAACTGAGTGGAGGCCTAAGATGGCCTGCCTACCAGCCCAACCGGAAGCCTGCCTTCCGACCTAGCCAGGAGCATGCCTCCAGCCCAGCGGGGAGCCTGCCTATAGCTCAACAGTGAGAGCCTCTGATTGACTCTCACATCACTTGAGTAGGAATCACACAGGGAGATGGTTGGAATCTCGACCCGACGTGACCATGTCTCAGTCCATACCGAGGAATCCACCCGGTCTGGCCGACAGCGTGCCCTCGACAACCACGGAGAGGGCAGGGGGGCGGCGCGCCAAGGTGATCTTCAGAACCGGTTGTCAGGCCACGACGACCTGAGGGCGACGCTCAACCACACCCAAGGTGAGCACTCCGACCGCAGCCGGCGTGGGGGAGGCCGACGCCATGCTCCACGCATGGACCTAGCCCGACTCAATGCCGGGCTGGGTGGAAGCCCTACAAGAGGCGACTCGAGCTCTGGGGGCCTTGGCTCACGGTTTCCAGCAAATGGTATCTGGCAGTAACGCGGGCGAGCATGCCTGTCAACAGACACCGACGGAAGTGAAGGTGTCATCCAGGCGGCGTGAAGAGCGACACTCTGGATCCAACCTGCACAGGAGAGAGGAAGTCTCTCAACAGCTTTGTCGAGCCCATCAGCAGGCTGGGAGGGGCGCCCAACGGGGGCACTCAAGGCAGATGGAAGGAAGCGAGTCCTCTCGCCCCTCTCACCGGGCGAGCAGCCGGACTGGCTCCTTGGCAAGGCGAAACATGGGGGCCCGACCTCCTATTCATAGACGACTTGGAGGCGCCACTGAACATGCCCAGCCCCGTGCTAGGGTTATCCAGAGGAGTCCACCGCGCGGCCAAGGTGGAGGATCTGCGCCAACGCCTCGACGAGTTGAGAAGAAGGGTCGTTGTGTGAGAGCCTTACACGGGCGACCTTTGAATACTCGAACCTTTCACCTAGGCAGTGATGGATGCGTCGTTGCCAAGGGGCTACAAGCCTTGTACCATCGAATCATACAAGGGCACCTCTGACCCCCAACATCATGTATCTAGATACCTTTCCTACATGGTAATGATGGGATATGAGGATGCCATCCGATGTCGCGGTTTCTCTGCCACCTTGGACGGCCCGGTTCGTGAATGGTACGACTCTCTGCCCGATGGGAGTATCATGAACTTTCGCGAGTTGGCTCAACGCTTTCTCTTAAGGTTCGCGAGCTCCCGGGACGTCAAGAGAAACTTCAGCCACCTATTCGGCCTAAAACAGGGGAAGAAGGAATCATTGTCCGCCTTCCTAGCGAGGTGGAGGGCCGAGTCAATCAAACCTGCTTGCTATCGATGAAATATACTTGACGATGGAAACACACCATCCAAAAATCAAAACTAAGTCTCAAATGAATTTTAAGTAACTAGTATCATACCCGTGCGATGCACGGCATGAATCTATTTTTTTTAGATTTTCATGTGTTGGATGTTTGACAACCCATATTAATTGACAAACAGATCTGTGCATATGATGCAAATACATATCATCGGAATATATTGACGAAACTAATAATATAATGACTGTGATGGGAGTCCACAACATAATTCAAAGTCCAAATCGATTACACAACAACGTCTAAACCCAAATGCTGTAAATATATCCCTTCAAATTAAATCTAAACATTGTTAAACACTTCTTTGAACACAACATTTTGTGTTTTGTCTGTGGTTCTTCCATGATCATCTACAATTAGAATCTTCAAGCCGGATCGATTGGTCACCCTTGATATTGCAACATACAACTGCCCATGGGTAAACACAGGTTTTTTAAGCAACAACCCGACACGCGACAAAGACTGACCCTGGCTCTTATTTATTGTCATTGCATATGAAGGCATAATAGGATACTGCCGCCTCTGAAATTTGAAAGGCAAAGTTGCATCTGATGGTGTCAAGGATACTGCCGCCTCTGAAATAGACCCTTGCGGCCCTTGCCTTGATTGCCCATGTCGTCTTGGTTTGGTCTATCTGACAGATCATTGACCACATTCCCACCATTGTCAAAAGATGTTTAACTTAACTTGAATATATAAGCTGTAATTGCTTGGGGTGGGAAGAAGGTTTCCGGGCAGGGGTCTTTTATAGGGGAGATTCAAGATCTAGTTACACTTGCTAGTTCATCTCCAACCAAACGAAAGTGAGCTAGAAAATCTGGAAAAAATCAAAGCTACTATTCCAGCCACCCCACCAACCAATGAAATTTCATTGGTCACTATTCTTGCCACCACCCCAACCAATAGAATTTTATTAAGCACTATTCCACCACCCACATTAGCCAATAGGAAAAAAGTATTCCCACCAACTATTCCCACCACCCAGCAATCCAATACAACCGAGCAAATCAGCTCAAAGATTTTAGATTTTTAACATTTTATCCCAAGCTTGTATAATTTTTACATGTTGTAAATAAGTTTTTTACCCCACCTTGATGTTGACACTTTTGGGAGGGAGTACTATTCACAAAAATCTTTTCCTTTTATATTAAGATAGATTAATCCAAAGAAATTCATGTACTATGTACATTACCACAAAATTTGATTCTACGACATAGTCACCTTCAAACAGAGGCGGATTCAGGATTCTGAGATGCCCTAGGCTGAATAGGAATTATACTAGACTTAAATATTAAAGAGGTGCGCTAAATGCGAAAAATGAAAAAATTTACACTAAAAGAATTCTCAATTGCCCTAGGCTTCAGCCTACCATAGGCCCTACATAGATCCTCCCCTGCCTTCAAATTTTAGCTTCCTTTTGCTTCATAGGTGTTTTGCGCCTCAAATGAGTCGCCTCCCAATTTCGTACACTTTTATCAATTAAATCATCGAAGGTTGGTTTTCTGTTGTTATCAAGCACGGTTACATTCTCTCAATTCTCACAAATCCAGTCACTATCTTTTTATCGTAAAATTTCCTTATTTGAGCCCTACTCATTTGTTACACATCTAATTAATAGCAGCAATACACTACACGGGAATATATAGGTGAAATCTCGTATACGTATATACTATATATATGTGTGTGTTATTTCACGATCTAAGTATACACTGTTTCCATTGCTTAAAACTTTGCTGCCTCGTAAAGTTTAGATCGTTATTTTAATTAGTATAAATTGTATAGTATTATGAAAGTTACTAATCTTATACTCTTATGAAAATAGTTTAAACAAAGAACATTTTCATTCATTTTCTTATGATAAATAATTTCCAATAAAAATATATAGTTGATTAAAATTTCAGCGGAAAATTACTATTACGGCATGTTTGGATGAAGTGTTGGGAGGTGTTAGTAACAAAAATGTTAGTAAGTGTTGTTAGGGGCCCGAAAGGGAATGTAAGTATAAGTGTTAAACATAATCTTATCTTGTTTAGACAGAGTTAAAAAAGTGAAGTGTTTTTACTTAAATTGACAAAAATATCCCAGTACCTTTATTACAAACTTTCTTTCTTTGTTACTTTACAACTTTAACTTGAATGCCGGACTTAGACCATTTGGAGTGGTGTAGAGTCCAAAATGTCAAAAATGGACTCCGTCCATACGAAAATAGTGTTCCGACTCCTATTTTCTGCATTCCAGCATCGTCAATAAAACACACTCTGCATATTTTTTACATATCAATTTAGTAAAACATTAATTAAATTATTTTAATTAGTGTTTTCCTTTTAATTTCTTTTCAAATTAATTACAAAATAAAAAGGACACATTTCGATATAAAAATAATTAAATTTCAATAATTTTTTTTTACATTAAATCAATTTTTTACTTTTAAAAACACACAGATCTGCCATTTTTTATTAAAAAAAATCAGGCTTTGTTGTTGCAAAAAAAAAAACAGACTTTGTAGGTGCTAAGTGACGTCATCACGACATCACTATGACATCACCCAGTCAATTGTATCCGTTCGCACCCGCAGGCCACATTTGGCCTATTGGCCTTTTCTCTCTGCACGCCATCCCATCCGCCCCACACCCCTATTTTACTTTCTTTTTCATTTGCTTTTTGGGAGTCCATATCCCTCTAAATTTAACCTCTTCTCCCCATACCCATTTTTAATACCCTTTATAACACACCAATCTATGAAATTAGGAGTCCAAAATTGCCACTTTTGACATTTTGGACTCTAATACCTCACCACTTCAATTGGTCTTACTCTTTTTTTTGCACGAAAAGAAAGATTTTTTATTGATAAAAAGAAATAGTACAATGCGAGAAAAAAAGCAAAATAATAATAATAAAACGTACAGAAAATAAAAAACTGTACAAAAAAGAAATGAAATAAATTTAAACAAAAAACTAAGCCCAAGGGAATTGTTTGGGCTGTGATCGAGTCCTCGTGCTATGTCGCCGCTTGTTCTTATGAGATTTTTTATAAATCTTCAGTTGTGTGTTTAAGTTATCTGTTGGCAGACAATTATCCAAAGCAATGAACTTGGATTTGTAACACATCACTCTGTTGAATTCTGAGTCCCTTATATCATTGTTATTGGAGATTGGTGGTCGACGCTCACTTTCTGTTGCGTGCCCTAGAAAGTCGTCTGAGAAAAAAAAAATCATCTGATGGATCATAACTATCAGAGACATCCAAGTAGGCCTGAATCAGTGGTAGTTTGGGATGGATCTCTGAAGTGTGAGTTTGTTGTTGGTCGGCGTAGGCTCCCTGGATTTGAAAATCAAATATAAGTTTTGATGGAGTATATGGCCCAGGAACCCCCGGCCCATAGACTCCTACTTCTCCTACATAGGCCCATTGAGCCCATGGAGCATCCGAGGCCCACAAACAGTGGCCCAAGTTCAAGGAAGCCCACAAAGCACTCAGTGGTGCCTTCGGCCTCCTTGGCCGAAGGCTCCAAAACTCACAGAACAGCCATTTTTGGGCATGCGAAACCACTGGGAGAAAACGGCGGAAAACAGGAGCCTTCGGCTGTAACACCCCCATTTTTTCCACCAAAATAAAATAACATTTTGAAATGAAAACATCTTTATTATAAAACATATTTAGAGTACAGCGGAAGTCTTTAATGGAAAAACAGGTGTGTCACCGCCACACTCAACATATACATGATTGAGTGCACAGGCTATCCACCATAAATTCAAGTAGCCATCGGATAAAGCTTAAAACAAGTTTATGGATTACAAATTTAAACACCAATAATTAATCAAACGTGTGCAACTAGCGGGACACTCGGGCAACAAGTACATCAATCTTCATAACCATACTCATCTGTACAATAGAGCAAAGAGAAAAAGAGAAAAAGAGAAAAAAATTAGCTTTAGAGCTAAGTAAGATTCCACCTGAACCCGTAAAATAATATAATTTGGAAAGTAGGTTTTTGTATATGTATATATATCGAAAAGTAGTCTCTCATATTTCCAAAATAGTTTAATGTCATAAAATAATTTCCACAATAGATAATATCATCCTTCAATTCCTCCAAAAGTAATACTTTAGATTCTTTTAAGAGTGGGCGAAACTCAAGATTCCTCGAGCCCAATGAGTCGTTGTTATCTACGACTCATCCCGGAATTCCGGCTCCCACCGACCACCAATTGGAAGCTGAATTTCTACCTTAAGTGTGCACACCCTCTAAAAGGGATTCCAAGCCCTCCGAGTAGTAAGAAACCCAAGTAGGCAGGATGTTTTCTACCACCTACTCACAAGGGACATTGTCCAAGGGTAAATTAGGTAACTACTACTACGATCACCAAAGGATCTTTGATCCTCAAATAAAAGCCCGGGATGTCTACCGGAGTATGTCATTGCCGGACTGGTTACCGACCCAAATAAATTTCACCAAAAGTAGTAGTAGCCCTAACCACCCACGCCTCGTGTTTCTCTCGAGACGTAAGAATATGTATTATGAAAACTTTAAGTTTTCCCCAAATCATTATTGTCACATTTTCTCAAAATATCCTTTGTAATAAATATAAATCCACCAATATTCTTTAATAAAAAGAATATACATTTAATCATCCATAAAAGGTAATAATCCACCAATATTCATATAGTCAAAATATTCGATCCATGTCAAACATATAATTTCCAATTCATAAATAATTCACATAGTGCAAATATTGCATACATATAAGTACGAGGCAAAACATTTTGGTTAACATAGAACTTACCTTAAATTGCGATAATCTCCTTAATAAAATCTCTAGCTTGATCTTCACTTGAATTCTCCTTCTAATATTAATCAAAATTCTAAATCAATAACTATTCTACTATTTCGTTATTCCTTATATATCCAACCTTTATTTACTTTAACTTCATAAATCCTTCTTTAAATATGAATATTAAATTAAATTAATAAATCTTACTAAATGTTTATTTCCAGCCCATTCTTATTATTTTCTTTAATTATATTAATCCAACTCGATTTTTCTTTAATTTTATTTGGTTAAATAGTTAACTGGTCCAATTAGTTTAACTATATAATGATTTCATTATTTCGAATTAAATAAGTATTTTTAGTCCAAAATTAAGTTTACATAATGTACATAATTTATTTAATAAATCTTCTAATAATAATTTCATGTAAGCAATAATTCGAAATAATAATCATTAATGATAGTCTAATCTCAATAACCACTTTAATTAGTTCAATAGTTTATTTACTAACTAACCCAATTAAATTAATTAATCCAATCCTCTAGTTTTATTTATTTGATTCACTAATTTAATTGAACTAACTAAATCAAATAAATAAGTTTAATTATATCAATATAGCTAAATACATTAATCTAATGCAATTAAGGCCAATACTCAAATTCTAATCTCGCTTTAATTTTCTATTTTTAATATAAAGTCCAAAAATATTACCACATCCATAATTTAACTAATTTATCCATTAAACTAATTTATTTAGTTAAACTAGTCCAATGAAGTCAATTAACTAAATTATTAAGTACACATTACTTAATTAATTGGTTTGTATTAATCAACTAATTTCTTATGAGTTCAAATAGTTTAATAATTTATATGGAGTCCAAATCACTAATAATCAAGGATAATAATTATTAATTTAATCACACTAATTTAATTAGTCCACTAATTCAATAATTTATTTATTAAATCCAAATATAGTCATTCATTTATACTAGATAACCCAACTTTATTTTATTTCCCTTATTTTATTACAAACATCATTTTTAGTCCAGAACATTATTTTCAATCTTAGTGATTTATTTATTTCACCATTAATATCAAAATTTTCTTATTTAATTACTTAACTAGTTTTATATGGCCCAATTAAATTAAATAGCTTAAGAATCGACTTTATAAATTTATTACTGTCCATAACTATATTTTGGGTCTATATTTGACCTAGGTTGTCCAGATATTTATTTTAGAATTATTTCCCTTATTTATTCACTTAATTTCATATATCTATTAACCGGTTTAATTACAATTAAATATGCTAATCATAATTTTTATTAATTATAAATGGTCCCAAATGTCCTAGTTAGTCATATATTTAATCTAGCTTGCTCCAATATTTATTTCATAATTTATTTCGTCATTTAGTTAATTATTTACTAAATATGTACAAATTGGCCCAATTACAATTAAATCAATTAAAAATAGCTACAAATATTATTTTTCAATTATTCTTGGTCCGAATATGTATTTTTATACCAGGTATTTAATTTATATTTGTCCAGATTTCATTTATTTCATTTACTATTTTATTTTTAATTTTTTATTAAAAATGGGCCGAACCGGTCCAAATTCGCGACCCGGCCCAAGAAGACTGGGTTGTCTCCTTCCCAGCTCTTCTCCAGGTCGCGATTCCGGCGACCGGAATCCCGAAAACTCCGGCGAGCGATAACTTTACTTACAGGTAACGGATTTCGACGATTCAAGTTGCAAAATGATCCTCACGTCGAGGAGAAGCTCCGCCACCCCTATCTACGGCCAATTGTCCGCTTTCGCTGAAGACCCGTTTCCATGGCTTGCAACTCCGGCGACCTCTAGTATGCTCCGGTGACTACGAATCGGTCTGGAATTTATTGGGAAGTATTTCTGGACCTCTCACGACCCTCCTCTATCGTTTTTACGAAGTTTGATACGTAAAGTATTATAGGCATAAATTTTCCGGCGAGATTATGTATATATATGTATATGTATATATAGCTTCTATCTCTCCGATTTGCAGTGTTTAGGATGGCTAAGAGGGTGTATTTATAGGTCTAGATGGTCCTTATGGTTTATTTTATTTATTTGATAATTGTATGAATAATAATAATAATTATTATAATAATAAAAATAATAATGTCTATACATAATAATAGGTTGGTAGTTGATGAACATGGCATGTGTATTGATCCCTGATTTGATTCCCATTTATATTGATGTTTCATTTTATTTTATTTTATTATTATTATTTTTAATTACTTAAATGTATTTTGAGTTTTACATATAAATATATATATTTAAATATATGTACATAATGTATATACATTATTTGGTAGGTGATCTTAGCATGTGTCATTGTTTTATGATATGATATTTTCATTTATTAATTTGATGCTATTATTAGTAATTTATAATATTCTTACTATTTTTATTTATTTATTTATTTATTTATTTATTTATTTATTTATTTATTTATTTATTTATTTATTTATTTATTTATTTATTTATTTATTTATTTATTTATTTATTTATTTATTTATTTATTTATTTATTTATTTATTTATTTATTTATTTATTTATTTATTTATTTATTTATTTATTTATATATTCTGTCACCTATATTTTATCTGATTTACTTAATTATTAAACTGTCAATTTCGTAACATTTTAGCTGACTAATAAAATTATTTATTTTATTTTAATTTTTCGGGGTATCACATCGGCACTGTGGAGCCCTCGGCATCAGGGAAGCCCTCGGCTGAACCAAGCCTTCGGCTGCATAGGGCCTTCGGCCACACGGAGCCCTCGGCTACGTAAGGAGCCTTCGGCTAAACAGACTCAATCATCGAAGATTCCCTGTGGAGACAGCCAACCACCGCATTTAATGCAACGTCACATCCACTCACCGCATTTAATGCGGTGCATATGCGAGTGCTGGTGCCACCCCGATTGAGGTGACCCCTCGGACATTGGATTACTGACACGTGTACTCTCATCGCAATTATTGCTACTATAAATAGCAGCCCTTATTCTCCTTGTAAAGCACGCTGAGTTCATTTAATACAATCGACTCTCTCTCCTCCTATTTGCTCTGACTTCTCTCTAGTTATTCCCGCAATAACCACTCGGATATGATACCCCCCGGGTACACTGTCCATCAAGTTTAGATATTGACATGGGCTCTTATGTGTTTGTCATGGTTTCCGGTTCCTGATGCATTGGTTCCCTTCAATTGGTCTTACTCTCTTCTTTGAAGGAATCTATTACTGGGTTAAGACTTTTATCAAATTTTCCCTTACACTAGGTTTATCTTTTGCATAGCAACATCTCTACTCAAAATTCTTTGTAGTCATCAAAAACAAAAACAAAAAACAAGATAAACTCCAATCGGTGAGTTAAGGGTCTGGATTTCCAAACTTTTCCAACAACAAATCCACTCGGTGCTTACAATTTACCTTGGAGGTTCTGAAAGCAACTGTGCGGCAGAAGAAGCACAGAGAAGATTGAGCTGAAGAAGATTGCCTTTATGGGCGAGATGAACTGAATAAAAAAATTGGGAAGCAGATTCCAGATCGGTGAGACGAAGCAGAGAGGAGAAGAGAGTGCAATAGTGTTGGAGAAGAGAAGACTGAGTATAGAGGAAAGGCAGAGCAGCGGACTGCATACATGCGGCAAAGGGGGGTATGGTCGATAATTGAAGAGGGGAGAAGGGCACCGATTGTCAACACCTCAATACACTCCAAATTTGGGGTGTTAAAAAGTGGACAATAGAAGTATTGGGAAAGTTATTATTAACTCTTCCTAACCTTTACTAACACTTCCTAACACCTCTTAATTTTTCTCCCAAACAAGTGTTAATATCAATACTTACTAACACTTCCATTATTAACACTCCTCAACACTAAATCCAAACAGGCTGTTAGCCTCATGAGGTTATGTCATAATTATTAATGCAACCTCGCATTTTCATAAACCCATTAGTCACCCCTGAGTTTGTGTCATTCACGATCATTCTTTGCCCCCCCCCACGTTAATATGTGTTAAATTAAATTTAATATAAATCTTAAATTCAATGAAAATTGTCTATAAATTTAATTTTAAACTGAAACACAAATTATTATCACAATTATTAGTCATTATTATTGATCGTTAATTTTCTACTTAGCTACTCCATCGTGGAATATTATTGAGAGTAGTTAATGGAAAATACTCACGAGTATAATATAAAATATAAAGAATTTTAATATTTTTAATTTTGAAAATTAAATATCATTTAACCTTATAAAACCAATAATTTTTTTTACCGTAAAAATGACTTTTGTAAAGCTAAAATCATCACAAACTAGTAACAGAGTTAAATAAATAAATAAATAAATCAAAATTATGATATTTTAGGTCTTAGATTGATATATTTCAATTATTCAGGTTCTAGATCGACACGTTCTTTCTTTTATGTATCTTATTGGTACTAGACTTATCTTTTAGGTCATGAAATAATAAAATTCCCTTTTTCTTGGTATTTGTTCTTTGCTACACATGAAAGAAATGTCATTGAGATTCATTCAACCGGATGAATTACAAATAAGATTTTTATATTCATGATGATGAAGTGACTAAAATTTTGTTAACACATTTTTTTAAAAACTTTCTTTGATGTATGATGTGAGTTTTCTTGCACTTAAAGTAGACCGTAATATAGTAGTGTAAGTACGAGTATCGTCTCCACAAGGACGGACAAAAGGGAATCAAGAATTAATTAAATTCAGCGATTAAAAAGAAATAAAATAAATGCGTCATGCGAGATATGATTGTTATGAAAAATTAAAATGCAACTAAGTGATTAAAATAAATGATTGGTTTTCTTCTCAATTAACGACGAAGGGAACATGGATTGATTCCGGGGTAACCAGATTACTAGCAGATCAAGCTTAATTACATGAAATTAATTTAATTAAGTCTAGCTAATCATTACTAAGTTCTTACTGCTCTCGCGGTGTAGAGTACAATAATTTAGGGGACCAGGTTGATCTCTCATGCGACAAGATCCTAAATTATTGCCAAGACGAGCGAGCTTACGACCCTTTAATCGCTACAAATCTCTCAGAAAATGATTAAGTGTGTGTGATGTAAGGTGTTAGAGACAGTTTCTTAATTTATTCTTGGAAACACGTTTCTTAATTTATTTTTGGAAACACATCCTAATTTAATTAGGGGTTATGTTGCTTTGGGAATAAGACACTGCATCTCTATAAATATCACTCTCCTCTCTTGTAATCTGCATCCAGAAAATATTAATAACATTCCTGGCTTGGTAGCGCCCCCAGACGTAGTCCTCTGTGGCGAACTGGGTTACCAAATTTCGTGTGTTCTTTAATTGTTCTTCGTGTTTGTGAGTTAAATTCCTAACAACTGGTATCAGAGCCCTAGGTTCGAAGGGAGAGTTCAACACGATGGCAGATTTGAAGACACCGTTGATGCAGTTTGATGGGACTGATTTCGGCTTCTGGAAGCTGCAGATCGAAGATTACCTGTACGGTAAAGATATGTATCAACCTCTGGAGGATAAGCCGGAAGACATGAAGGAGAGCGATTGGAAGTTGCTGGACAGGAAAGCGATGAGCGTGGTGCGATTGTCGTTGTCCTGAAACATCGCCCTACATACCGTCAAAGCAAAAACGACGAAAGAGATGTTGCAAATATTAACGGATATGTATGAGAAACCTTCTGCTGCGAACAAGGTACATCTCATGAGGCGTCTTTTTAACCTTAAGATGTCAAAAACCACGGGAGTTGTGGAGCATCTCAACGAGTTCAATTTAATCACCACACAATTGAGCGCGGTTGAGATCAAGTTCGACGACGAAATTCATGCCCTAATTATGTTGTCTTCTCTCCCGGAAAGCTGGAACGGAACGGTGACTGCAGTCAGCGCTTCGGCAGGGAAGGAGAAACTGAAATTCGATGAAGTCAGAAATCTGGTGGTCAGCGAAGAAATTCGCAGGAAGGAATCAGGTTTGGCTTCTGGATCGGCGTTGAGTACAGAGAACCGGGGCAGAATGAAGTCAAAGTCAAAGTCAAATCGGGATAGATCAAGATCCAAATCCAAGTCAAACAGCAAGGGCAAGAAGGACAGATGTCAGATCAAGTGCTGGAATTGTGAGGAGTACGGACACTTCAAGAGCCAATGCAAGGAGCAGATCAAGGATCAGAAGGAGAAGACATCTGTCAATGCAGCGGCAGAATCATCGGGTGATGATCTCCTGATTCTGAGCGTGAGCAGTCCGTTGGAGTCATGGGTTCTAGATTCTGGAGCCTCGTTCCATTCATGTGGTAACTCTGAAGTGATGGAACAGTATACTCTCGGCAATTTTGGAGAGGTGTATCTTGCTGATGATGAGCCTCTTAAAATTGTCGGGAAGGGGACAGTCCACGTGAAGACTCCGAACGGATGCATGCTGAAACTAAATGCTGTCCGACACATTCCTGGTTTGAGGAGGAATCTTCTTTCAATTGGGCAGCTGGATGAGGAAGGTTATGCAGTTACATTCGGCAGTGGAAATTGGAAGATCGCCAAGGGAGCCTTGCTAGTTGCTAAGGGGAAGAAGGAGGGTACGTTGTACATGACAACAAACTCAAAGGACTGCATTGATGTTGTTGCCGCTGCAAAAAACGATGTGAATTTGTGGCACTGTCGGCTCGGTCACATGAGCGAAAAGGGGATGAAGGAGCTGTGCTCGAAGGGCAAACTGCCCGGCCTGAAGACTGTTGAGGTTGGCTTATGCGAAGACTGCATATTCGGGAAACAGAAACGTGTCAGTTTCTCAAAGGGAAGACGAGCTATCAAACCGGAGAAGCTGGAACTAGTTCACACCGACCTTTGGGGACCTGCAGAAGTTACATCCTTGGGAGGATCCGCCTACTACATGACCTTTATTGATGATGCCACCAAAAAGGTGTGGGTTTATTTTCTCAAAAATAAATCCTATGCCTTTGATGCTTTCAGGAGGTGGAAAACTCAACAACAGAGTCAGGTCTGAAGTTGAAGTGCCTTCGGTCAGATAATGGGGGTGAGTACGAACTGCATGAGTTCAAGAATTTTGTGCTGAGAATGAGGTTTGTATGGAGAAGACAACTAAGGGGACTCCGCAGCATAATGGCGTTGCTGAACGCATGAACAGAACACTGAATGAGCGGGCTAGATGCATGAGGTTGAAGAGTGGCTTACCGAAGATGTTTTGGGCGGATGCAGTGAACACCGCGGCTTTTCTCATCAACAGAAGTCCAACGATCTCGTTGGAGGATGGCATTCCTGAAGAAAGGTGGACGGGTAAAGAGGTAAATCTGTCCTATCTCCGCATATTTGGTTGTGTTGCTTATGTTCATATCAGTTCCATTGACCGAAGCAAATTAGACGCAAAATCTGTGAAGTGTACTTTCGTTGGATATGGTGGTGATGACTATGGATACAGATTCTGGGATGAGCAGAATAGGAAGATTATTCGTAGTCGAGAAGTGGTGTTCAACGAGCAGGTTCTGTACAAGGACAGATTGAGCGCATATGATTCTGAGCAAGAAAGTCCGAAGATCATAGAGCTGGATATCTCTAATTCGGGTGGGAGCAAGCAGGATTAGAATGAAGAGATGAGCAGTGATGAGGATCCATCAACTCCGCCAAGGCAGCGGCCTTCTAGGAACCGAAGAGCACCAAATAGGTATTCACCTTCTAATTTCTATTTGTTGCTTACTGACGGTGGTGAACCGAAGTCCTATGCAGAGGCAGTTCGGGTTGATGACAAGGGCAAGTAGAAACTTGCAATGGATGATGAGATGACATCTCTCACATCCAATGATACTTGGAGGTTAGTTGAACTACCGAGAGGAAAGAAGGCTTTGCACTGCAAGTGGGTCTACCGCATCAAGAAGGAGGCAGATGGTAGCAAACGCTACAAAGCTAGGCTGGTTGTGAAGGGGTTTGAGCAGCGCTATGGTATTGATTATACCGACATATTCTCTCCAGTTGTGAAACTAACTACTATTCGGTTGGTGTTGGGGTTAGTTGCTGTAGAAAATTTGTTGTTACATCAGATGGATGTGAAGACTGCATTCCTTCATGGTGATCTGAATGACGAGATTTACATGGTGCAACCAGAGGGCTATGTGGAAGAGGGCAATGAGAATCTCGTATGCAAGCTAGTGAAGAGCTTATACGGGTTGAAGCAGGCACCGAAGCAGTGGTACAAGAAATTTGATGGTTTCATGCGGGAAATCAGTTTCTTGAGATGTCACACCGACAATTGCTGCTACTACAAGAAGACTGAGAACTATTATCTTATCTTGCTATTATATGTAGATGACATGTTGATAGTAGGAGCTAGTTCAAAAGAGATTGAGAAGCTAAAGAAACAGTTGTCAGAACGTTTTTCCATGAAGGATCTTGGAGAGGCAAAACAGATTTTGGGCATGCTAATCGAGAGGGATGAGGCAGCGGGCAGATTGTTTCTTTCACAGGCAGAATACATTCAGAAGGTCTTGGAAAGATTCAGAATGCAAGATGCTAAGGCTGCAAGTGTTTCATTGGGTAGTCACTTCAAGCTTAGCAAGGAAGATTCTCCAAAGAACAAGGAGGACCGTGCTCAAATGCAGAAGATTCCATACGCATCGGCAATTGCCAACATCATGTACGCTATGGTTTGCACGAGGCCAGACATTGCACATGCGGTGGGAGTAGTGAGCAGATACATGGGAGACCCCGGAAAAGAAAACTGGGAAGCTGTGAAGTGGATCATGAGGTATTTGAAAGGTACTGCTTCTAATGCTTTGTGTTTTGATGGAAAAAATATAGAGCTGCTGGGACATGTTGATGCAGATCTGGTATCAAATGACTCGGATGGATCAAGAAGCACCACATGGTATATTTTTACATTTGGTGGGACAGCAGTATCTTGGCTTTCGCAGCTACAGAAGATTATTGCATTATCTACTACAGAGGCAGAACATGTGGCCATTACGGAGGCAAGTAAGGAGATGGTGTGGCTTCAGAATTTACTTTGGGAACTTGGGAAGGAGTACAAGAATAGCATTCTTTACAGTGACAGTCAAAGTGCTATCTTCTTGGCAAACAACTCAGCTTTTCACAAGAGAACCAAACACATTCGGTTGAAGTATCACTACATCCGTCATCTTCCAGAGATAGAGGCATTGCAGCTTGTGAAGATCCGTGGGAGTGAGAATCTAGCAGACATGTTTACTAAGGTGGTAACCTTGGAGAAGTTGAAGCTTTGCATAGCTTCAATTGGCCTTGGTACTTGAAGTTGAAGGTCGGCGCTACCATGCTAACAAGGGAGGATTTGAAGAAGACAGTCTCAAGGTGGGAGATTGTAAGGTGTTAGAGACAGTTTCTTAATTTATTCTTGGAAACACGTTTCTTAATTTATTTTTGGAAACACATCCTAATTTAATTAGGGGTTATGTTGCTTTGGGAACAAGACACTGCATCTCTATAAATACCACTCTCCTCTCTTGTAATCTGCATCCAGAAAATATTAATAACATTCCTGACTTGGTAACGCCCCCAGACGTAGTCCTCTGTGGCGAACGTTACCAAATTTCGTGTGTTCTTTAATTGTTCTTCGTGTTTGTGAGTTAAATTCCTAACATGTGAATGTCTCCTAGAACAAATTAGATCTCTCTTAACTTATTCTACAAGCAATTGTAATTCTAGTCGCGATTCTAGGTTACAAAAAATATCAGTTAAATTATTCAAACACAAATTAAACGACATTCATGCAATTAATCCATCAAGAAACTAGCCATACATCATGATTAACCCCTTCATCAACCCCAAATCCTTAATTAAACTACTCATAATTCATAATTGAAGAATCAATAGAATTGAGATTAATAAGAATAATTGTCATTAATTAAAAAGATAGAACTTACAAAGAATCTCTTAATCTTAACAATTTAAGGCTTGAAAAGCTCTCCAAATTCGTCCTAAGGTTCATCTCTCTAAGCCCCCCTCAAAATAGACAAATTGGGGGCATATTTATAGAAAAAACGCGAAAATAGGCTTAATCACACGACCACACTGTCGGCCGCACGCCGTGCGGGTCACCGTGCGGCCGCGCGAGAAAATTAACGTGCTTCGCGTTTCGCTCCATCCGCATTGTGTGCGGATCCCGTACTATACAATAGTGTGGGTACTTGTGGGGCTATTTCAGGACCGCGCAGTGTGCGGTTTCGGCTGCACATAGTGCGGTTCAGACTTCTTTAATTCTTGCTCTCATAATCACCCGCGGGGCGTTCAGAATGCTCTAGAACCGTTCTCTTGCTATTTTCTTCCCCGTTCGCTACCGGATGCTTATTTGATCGATTCGAAGGTCGTTTCGTCATCAAATCTTCGTCGTGAATCTCCCGGTGGCCTCCAAAACTCTCAAATCTTTCTCGAACGCTCTCCAACTCTTCCTGATTGCTTCTCAAGCGCCGGTGTCGGACTCTAAATTCCTGATTTTTACTCCAAACAACACAAAATTCGAACCAACGCGCAACGCCTGATAAACATCACTTGAGCTAAAATTGAGACTTATAACACCTTAAAGCTAGGAAAACCATCAAAAGCCAATCCCAACACGCATCAAATGCGTGTCTAAATACGGACTTATCAATGTATCACATGGATTTCTTGTGAGTCTTCCTTTCAACTATGGTATCATTACTAGTTATTCCACGAACAAGTAGCTAAGTTATAAAAATAACGATAAACAAAAATGACTTATAATTATGATAATAAATTGTATTACACTTTAAAGTTAATTTTATAAACAACTTTTATTGAATTTAAGAGTTATATTAAATTTAATTTAACAAAATTAACATGAGGGGACATATAGTGAATATGATCAAAATTGAGGGGGTAACTACTTAATTTTTGTAAATGTAAAGTTGAATTAATAACTATGACATAACTTCAGGGGCTAATAGTAATTTCCCCAAATCATAGAGATACCAAAGTTTTATGGTCCTCACCATAATAATTAAGGGAAAGTTCCCGAAATAGGACTAAAATAGTTTGAAAATTCAAAAATAGAACTGTCATGTTTTTTATTCCCAAAATAGAAATAATTACTGTCAAGTTTGGAAAATACTGTCATGTTTTGGGAATACATGACAAAACATGACAATAATTAGTATTATTTTGGGAATAAAAACATGACAGTCCTATTTTGGAATTTTCAAACTTTTTTAGTTCTATTTCGGGTAATATTCTCTAATAATAACTACTCAGTAATTATTTAAACCGAGTAATATGCACGGGTAGCTCAGTTGATTGTATTGTGGAAAGTTTGTAACAATGACCAATGTTCGAAATATACAAGGACGGTTACAACTTCCCATTGAATCGACTGAGTCACCGTAATTTAAATCGTGTCATATGACTTGTGAGATAAAAAAAGGATGACACCCCATCCTGAGTCCCCCAACACCGACCGAACAGCTCGCTGGGAGGATATATATTGAGTTTTGATCTCACTCTAATACAAGAGAGTGAAACTCTATCCCAAGATATTGCTCGGAATTTAACCCGAAACCCCTCCCTTGTGGCACTCCCTACCAGGTGAGCTACGCCCTAGATATATGGCTTGTGAGACACTGAGACGAGAACATGCCTTATCAGGTGAGAGCCTAGGGTCCTTGGGGTTGAAAGGCGCAGTACATTCACGATACTGATGGTCTTTTTGGGTCCTTGTTGGTCTTTTTGGGTCCTTGTCATGCAAAGATATTGGCCAATGCTAAAGACCTAAAGTACAGTAAAACTGTAACAGTACTTGCTATGTATAGGACCCACTTCTCGATCTTCCCTGCCAGTCTTGTTCAGCCGTATCCGCATATTAAAAAACCTAGGGAAACCAAAGCCAGCGCGGGAGAACGACTGAAAAGTGAAAAACACAACAAAAGGGGATTTCAGAAGATACCCAATCCATCACCCACAGAGTTTTACTATCCACCCTTGCCCCGGTTCAATTCTTGTTCTTGTTAAAAAGGTGCTTTCTTTCTACTCCATATTTGTTTGTTTGGTTAAAATATTTGATTTTTATTTCTGGGAATTTCAGGCGGTGTGTTTATGGGACTTGCACATCACAACCATCCTCATGTTCTTTGATCTTGCTCAATTTTCACCCCAGAAGTTCGTTTCTTTAATTCTTTTGCTCTCTTCCTTTTCTTGTTTACCAGAGGTGAGATTTAGAAAAGATTGGACCTGGAATTTTAGGGCATGGACTTAATAGCTATCGTTTAGTGGTTCTTGAGCTGTATAATCATGCAAACCCTTGAAGCCGTTGGTGGTAATGGTGGTGTTGTTGATGAACGGAGGTGCAAAAGGTCTAATTCATCAATAGGGTGGAGATGTAAAGACAAAGCTCTTGAGGGTGGAGTTTTCTGTGAGAAACACTTGATATGGTACCACGAGACAACTGCCAAGCGTAAGCGTATGGATATTTTGCGTTCTTCAGATGCGTCCCTGAAGGGTAAGAAGAGGCGTTTAGGAACTCGATCCGTTGTTAATGTGAATGGGGCAGTGAAGAAGCGGGGTCGGCCCAAAGGGTCAAGTAGCAAGAAGGAAACCAATGAAAGTGATGTAGTGTTTCTGACACCTCAGTCTACTGGAGTTGTAGTTAAGCAGAAGAAGATGGGGAGACCAACTGATGAAAGTTGTACACTGTTTCTGACACCTCAGTCTACTGGAGTTGTAGTTAAGAAGAAGATGGGGAGACCAAAAGGTTCAAAGAATAAGAAGAAACCTGCTGAAAAGAAACAAGGGTTTGAACCATTGATTCTTGAAAATAGTAAGACAGGTCTAATTGAAAACGAATTTGGCGGAGAGAGGACTGTCAAGAAGAGGGGCCGACCTAAGGGTTCAAAAGGCAAGAAGAAATTTACTGTAGCGGGACAATTGATGCGTAAAATTAACAAGATAGGTGTACGTGCGAATGAATTAGTTGTTCCCAAGAAGAGGGGCAGACCAAAGGGCAAGAAGAATCGAGTTGGTGGTTTGATTACTCAAAAACAACAAGAATTTGGATCATTGATGCTTCATAATTGTCCGGTAGGGGTGATGGATGAATTATTGAGCACCGATGGGACACAAAAGAAGAGGGGAAGACCAAAGGGTTCATCAAAGGGTAAGAAGAAGCATATTGAAGGTAGTGCTCTGGTTTCTGCAAAGCAAGATGGCTTTGAACCGTTGATAATTGAAGATAGTGGGACAGGATCAGTTGTGAATCATCAACTTTCTGCTTGTAATAAACGGAAGAGGAGGAGACCAAAGCTTTCAGAAGAAAATAAGAACGAAGCATTGACTGGGGCAGTCAGGAAGAGGGGCAGACCTAAGGGCTCAAAAGGTAGTGCTTTGGTTTCTGCAAAACAAGATGGCTTTGAATCGTTGATAATTGAAGATAGTGGGACAGGGTCAGTTGTGAATCATCAACTTTCTGCTTGTAATAAACGGAAGAGGAGGAGACCAAAGCTTTCAGAAGAAAATAAGAACGAAGCAATGACTGGGGCAGTCAGGAAGAGGGGCAGACCTAAGGGCTCAAAAGGAAAGAAGAAAGCTCTTGTTGTTTTAGGTGACACACCTACAGAACTTGAAGATAACGAGGTAGGGATAATTGTGAATCCGGGGAAGAAGGGAAGGCCTAAGGGTTCTTTGGGTAAGAAGAAGAAGGAGACTGTTTTAAGTGGTAATGAATCTGGGGTTTTGATATCGTTGAACGGTCAGTATGGTGACGGAACTGTTGAGAAGGACAAGTGTGAAAGAAAAAGTCTTGTATTGGGAATTGGGGCAGTCCTTAAGGAAGCTGCTAATGGTAATATTCGTAGAAGAAACAGCATGGCTTCAAAAAGAAGACCAGTGAGGACTACTTTTAACTTCTTTCAAGCTCTTTATTAAAAAGGAATTATTGCAAGTAGGAGTAAAACACTGGCCATGTGCACAAATAGGAGTTTATGTGTGTTGTGCTAAAAATATGACTTTTTAGTCCTAATAGGGGAATAAAGTAATTATTTATTCTTGCTTTTGGATTAAATAAGTCTTATTTTCAATAGAAAACAATGATAGTCCTATCTTAGTGGAGGTGTTATGTATTTATTAGGCCACCATTTACTTTCATCATCATCATCATCATCATCATCATCATCATCATCATCATCATCATCATCCGGACTCCGGAGTGAGTAGCACCTTAATACCAACTAGTCAGGGTCGTTGGCTTGAAATTTGTAGTGCCAATTAAAATCAAAGGAATTGTGGTCTAGACTATCTATTCCCTCGTACATAGCAGTTTGTAGGTTTGGCTCTGGACATTCCGTTTATGAACATTTTAGGGGTCAAATTGTCAAAATGCTGACAGTCGCTTCTAGAAGTGGCTTGCTAACTCAAACTGAATATAAATCCTCTTTTTTCATTTGGCACAGTTAGGCACATTCTTATGAAGTACTTAAACTGCATTTGTGTATGTCTGAAATACTCCAATTTGACAAACTCTTTGAAGAATTCAAGATATAATTTCTTCTTTTCTTCCACAACAGCCTCTACTTAATATTTTTAAAGGGTTAGTAATTGCAACATATACATGGTTAGTAATTGCAATATAAGTATTTGCAACCACATTTATTACACTACTCCTCGAGGTTACACAATATTCTAATATTGAGATCTTGAGTATAAAGGCACAATCTTTGAGAATTGATATTCTATAGAGTTTGATAGGAAAGAGAATCATAAGACCTTATAATTAAATGTAGATAAGTCTTCTGATATGATTTATTAATTTATGTTAAGTTCTCTAGAACAACAAATTATTGGGATGAATGGAACGGAATACTCAAATATAGTGGCGTTTGTAAAGTGAATTGGCATAAAAAGTGTTTCATTTATATTTAAGAGTTTCTATTCTTGCATTACTGCTGCGTTGTTAATCAAGGTTGTTGCCTAGAAAGAGAACTCTAGAATAACTTAATTACTGTTTACCTGAAAAATATGAATAAAAACGTATTCATTGTATTGTTTTTGCTGGCAATGTAAGACTGTCATTGCAAATTATAGCATTTTTGTTCACTCTTGAATAAATGCCCCACATTATTTTTGGAAGGTTTTTTCCCACAATATTACTGTTAAACTAAGAAGAGAAACCGTTGCAGGGTGCTACAAATTGGAAGGAAAATGGGACATTAATGTGCCATCAATGCCACAAAACCAATAAAAGCGACATTGTCTTCTGCTTGAAATGCAAAAAGAAACGCTACTGCAGTGAATGCATTGCGAAGTGGTGAGAAGGGAGACTCTATTACATTTTATTTTTTTATTTTTTTAAAAAACACTGTCATGTGTTATGGAATATTTTACTATTTCATTGATTAATATATCATTTTTGGTACGCCGAGTGGATGGGGGCTGAATTCGCATTAGCTATTTTTGCTTTAATGATGAAAAATCTTTTGTATAGAGTTTCCTTACAGATGTGACCTTGTAGTGATTAATATCTACTGTTTGCTTTCCTGGAACAATTGAATAGGTATCCAGAGAGAACAAAGAAAGATATTGAGAATGCCTGTCCTTTTTGTTGTAGCAATTGCAATTGTTCAGCTTGCCTTCAAGCAGATATAACTGCAAAGGTCTTTAGCTATCTCCCCCTACACTCTCTAATTTACATTTACACTATGAATAAAGTAATACCTTCATTTTGTTATAGGTCAACATAAAGGAATCTGATGAAGAAACACATTTGCGAAGGTCACTGTATGTGCTGTTAAATATCCTTCCACTTCTGAGGGAGATTCAGGAGGAGGCAAAGACCGAGCTAGATGCTGAAGCCTGTATACGAGGTACAAACAGCAAGTTGAAAACACTCCTTTTCAGCTCTATGATATCAAAATTCAGCGCTGTTCTAAATATGAATAGGCTGATGATGGCTTTGTTCTCTGCTATACATTCAGGTGTTCAGTTGACAGAAGAAGATATAACCAAGTCCCTACTTGATGAGGATGACAGAATATACTGGTAAGCCTCCTCAAAGCCTCAATTTTTTTTTGACAAAATATTATTACTGTGGTGTAAAGATTCTCAAAAGTAAAGTTTCTGGGCTAAAACAATGACCAAATTCATGGATGATTGGCATATATATTACTACCTCCATTCCTATACAAAGGCCCACTTTGACCAGGCACGATGTTTAAGAAGAGAATGAAACTTTGTAGTTTTGATTTATTTACAAGAGACTAATAATATGATTATGTAAGCCACTTATTGCATTCCTTAAAAAACGGGTGATAATTTTTGGATGACCGTAGAGAGGACAGAGGGAGTGCCATTTTTAACATAACAGTTTTTCACTTTCTTTCAATTGACTTATAACTCATTCTTTATCATTATTATTAAAATCATAGATATTAATGACTTATTATAATGCTCATACCAATCAGTTTTAACTTTATTCAATCATTTTAATTGGTATGACAGTGACAATTGCAAAACATCCATTGTCAATTTCCACAGAAATTGCCCAAATCCCGATTGCGCCTATGATATCTGTCTCAATTGTTGTCGGGAACTAAGATTCCGTTCTATCATGGGTGAAAGAACAAGTGATCAAAATGCTCTTTCCGATAAAACTGACTCTTCTGGTGTTTGGGAAAGGGAAAAGTCAAATGAAATATTTTCTCAATGGAAATCAAAAGTCGATGGAAGCATACCTTGTCCTCCAAAGGAACTTGGTGGTTGTGCGTCTGCAATGTTATCACTACGGCGCATATATGAACCTAACTGGGTGAATGAACTAATCAAAGCTGCAGAGGAACTCACTGCCAATTCTCATTTACCCAAAATTGATTTCTCAGAAGCTTGCCATTTGTGCCTTACTGCAATTGGAAACAGCAGTCAACATCGAAATGTAAGGCAGGCTGCTTTCAGGAATGATAATCAGGACAATTTGTTGTATTGTCCGAATGCTATTGACTTGCTGGATGAAGAGTTTATTCATTTCCAATGGCATTGGAGAAGGGGCGAACCTGTCATTGTGAGAAATACACATGCCATGGGTACAGGCCTCAGCTGGGAGCCGATGGTGATGTGGCGAGCTTTCAGAAATGCAAGGAAAAAGTTGGATGAGGAGAGTTTCTCTGTGAAGGCCATTGACTGCTTAGATTGGTGTGAGGTATGTATGATTTCTATTTGTGCCCATGATATAAAAGGAACGTTATATTTAGCTCTATTATCAAAATTGAATTTATAGGCTTAATGCATTCTGGTATATTTTGTGTTTATCCTTTTTGTTTGTGCTTTTCCTATGCACTCTTCCTTTTATCTGAGAGTAGTTCAGCTAATCTCCGTGGACACGAAATGATTTTTGTCCCATCTAAATACCAAACTAATGAACTGTATATCCTTATTTTCCATCTATGAAGAGTTATTTTTAGTTTAGATCCTATGACTATCAACTATCAAGCCACTTCCACGTTTAGTCTACGCCTCATTTTTCTACTTTAGGTGCATGATTCATACTGTTGTCACTCTAATCATTTATCCACTAAAATAGGAATAACCTCAGGGTATATTCAAGCCATACCCCGCTTGCAAAATCTTTTCCATCATTTCTAGAATGACACTTCTATTTATTTGCACATGAGGTTCTGCAGTCATGTTTAACCAAATAGATGGTTAAAATGACTTGAAGAGGCAACTACATGAGTGTCCTGCACTGGAAGTGAAAAAATTGAAGCCAAAGACCAGAAGTGAAAATCACTTCATAGTTGTGAGACAGAAAACGGGAATAATTCTTTTAGATGAAACTAAGTTCGCTCATTGGCTCTACTCGTCTATTCTATATCTACCTAGTTACATATAATGTTTAGTCAGTCAGCCTTCTAGCCTTTTTCAGATAAAGAAAGTAAAGTAGTTTTACTCTTCTGGCTGAGTTAAACATATTTGTAAAGCTCAGTGGGGCTGACTTATTCGTTTGTGTAATGCAGGTTGAGATAAATATTAAGCAGTTCTTCAAGGGATACTTAGAAGGAAGGAGTCACAGGAGTGGGTGGCCAGAGATGTTGAAGTTGAAGGACTGGCCACCAACCAAGTATTTTGAAGAATGCTTGCCAAGGCATGGCGCTGAGTTTGTTGCGATGCTTCCCTTCAGTGATTATACCAATCCTAGTTCTGGGCTTCTAAATCTAGCCACTAAGCTTCCTGTTGGGTCAGCTAAGCCAGATTTGGGCCCTAAAACTTACATTGCTTATGGGTCAGAAGAAGAGCTGGGAAGAGGTGATTCAGTGACTAAGCTTCATTGTGACATTTCTGATGCGGTAAGGCATACCAATAGTTTTATATTTTGTTTATGAAGTGTATGTTTTGATGGAAAATTAATTACTCAATGATTATTTCTATTTATTTCCAGTCTTCGTATCATAGTCTTAATTATCAAGTCCTATTTATGTCTTATTTAGGAAGGCACAACTATTGAGAATAATCAATTCTAGTTATATTTTTACATCTATTTGTTTTAAATATATTTAGCATTAATTATTTTGTGCACTAAAAGAAATTTGTTAATTTTAGTGTTTGAATAGGATTTTTTGTAGATACAAAAATAACTGTTTAAATCGGACTCTTTTTGGGACATGGAGTATAAATTATTCCAACTACGGTGATGTCTTCCCAAAATGAGTCATGTTTAATGTTTGTTTGGTGTTTTGAAAAGTGAACATTCATACATTATTTTGTATATATGTTTTCTATGAATAGTACATCCATGACACTGCATTACTCTAACTCGAATAATCTTCTTGCTATGAAACTGTAACATTATTTAGTTCTATTATGTTATGGAGTCTTATATTTTACCAATGTAACCAAAAAAATTATGTTATGGAGTCTTATATTTTACAGTCACTGTGCTCTACTATCACACAATAACCGTCTATTATGATTTGTTTCTCTCTTCAGGTCAATATACTGACACATACAAGTAAAGTGAAATATACTACAAAGCAAAGAGCCCAGTTGGAAAAGTTAAAGAAGGAACATGAAGAAGAAAAAGACTTGAAAGTGCTTTTTGAGAGTGGAAATGATGCATCAGAATGCATGGATTTTCCTGGGGGTACAATTTCCTCAGTTCCAAATTCCAGCCCCGAGAGCTCAGCACGTTTAGAAGCAGACTTCATGCTGACCGAACAACCTCTGGATGTTGCACACAGCGGCGCTGTGTGGGATATATTTCGTCGGGAGGATGTGACCAAGCTAACACAGTACTTGCAGAAGCACTGGAAAGAGTTTCATCACACAAAAAATGATCCTGTCAATTCTGTATGTATTTGTTATAGGTTACTATCAATTATGTTTCAAAGGCTCCTTAGTTATTATAATACTCATTTTTTTTTTCTTTAGGTCACTCATCCTATTCATGACCAGACATTTTATCTAAATGAGAAGCACAAGAAACAGCTGAAAGATGAATTCAGTATGATAAATACCCCCCATCAATTTTCTCCCAAATAGTTTTATGAGGTATGAACTAACATGTGATTTTTTTATAACTCTGGTGTAGATGTTGAGCCTTGGACATTTGAGCAATACCTTGGGGAGGCTGTTTTTATTCCTGCAGGATGCCCACATCAAGTTCGAAATAGACAGGTGAAATTGTGTAAAAAAAGTAGTCATGTGAATATATGCATAAAGGCACACTACATCATAGCTAATCTTGAACAGCTTTGATGGCTATTATAAAGGGAGTCACTCATATCCCTCAAAGTTATGTCATAATTTTTAATTATTGATATAACATCATGTTTTCAAAAGTCAAATCTAATGGAAGTTGTCTACAATGTGTGCTCTTGAAGGTAGAAACACTTCATCATTATACGCTACAATTACTTCTCATTACTCCTCCACCTCTACAGCTCTACTAATCACGGAAAAAATGTATGTGAGAGTAGTACTGAAAAATATGACTATTAAGAGAGTGTTTTAGATAAATGAGATCAATGTTCTAAAAGGCGCTAGGCTCTAATCAGGCGTCAGCCCAGTGCTTAGGCGGCTAGGCGGGCGCCTAGTCGGGGACTAGTCGGAAACATAGAAATTGCATTTTTATCTATATTTTTGCATAAATATGATAACTAATGTTGTATTTTTGTGTTTATAAAATACATATATACATATACATTAACAAACATGAATGATATAATTATCACATTTAATCATACGTACTACGTAGTATATGATAACTAATCACTTAACTTCATTATGTTATAAATATAAAAATGATAAAATTTAGGTATATATACAAACTATATAAAAAGTTAAAGTACGTATATCGCTTAGAAAATTAAAATTAAAAAGTGAAGTAATGTTCGGCGGATCTAGACGGCCTAGGCGCTGATTACGCGCTCTAGGCGGGCAACTAGACGCCATAGGCGGCCGACTAATTCACCTAGACGGCAAACCAATTAGTCGGAGCGCCTAGACGAAAATCGGGATGCCTGACCACCGCCCTAGGCGGGGACTAGTCGGGCTCCTAGAACGATTTTTAGAACAGAGAATGAGATTAATATTGACAGTTATATGAGATTAATGTTGAGAGAAGGAGAAGAACTTGTTAGAATAATTAAAGTTCAAAGAGTAACTTATTGACTTCTAAAAACACAAAGTTAGGATAAGCACCTAAAAAAACAAGGTTGGACTAGTAATTAAATTTAAAAAATTCACAAGGTTGAACTATTAAGTAATTAAATTTAAAAAATTCACAAGGTTGAACTATTATTATGACTTAAACTTAAGGGGCAACAATAATTTTTCCTTATTATAATACTGAAGTGAATATCAAGTCTGTTCAAGTTGCTTATGTTTGTCACTTTTTTGCAATTTATAACATGTGCACTCATTGTTTTGTTTATCGGATTGTTACTCTTTTGCAGTCATGCATCAAAGTTGCAGTTGACTTTGTATCCCCTGAAAATGTTCAAGAGTGCATTCATTTGACAGAGGAGTTTCGCTTGCTTCCCAAATTGCACAGATCGAAGCAAGATATATTGGAGGTATATTGATTTGTTAAGCTCTCATTGCTAAAAAATTATGCACATGCACTACATAAATGCATAAAATTCTTTGCATAAGAACAGACTTGTTAGTGAAACTGATCATCTTAAAAAAAATCCATAACAGACTTGCTCTTTTATTTTCTTTGCATATGTTTATAGGTGAAAAAATTGACGCTTTATGGCGCTAGTGTGGCTATTGAAGAAGCGAGGAATCTCATGAAAAAACTTCCGTGAGTTTGCTTTTAGCTTTTCTAATAAAATTATTGTTTACATTAATTCAAATTCTTTCATATTTCATTAAATATGTGATTTTGTTGCTTGATGGATTTCCGACGATGTAGTGGTTCAAGAGAAGAGAGTGATAGAGCCTATCTATAATCCTATGATGTCATCAGCCGCTAGGGTTTTTTGGAGTTTCCCGTGCCGATTGGTGTTGAGAATATATTTATGTTTTCACATTTATATTAAGTCAATTTTTTTGAGTTGTAGAATACTAGAATGCATTCGGTTTTGTCAATATATTATTCATTCTACATTGTATTACTATGTCAAGCTCACACAGGTTAGTTTATATTAAGGTAGTGTTTTTTCTTTGAAAACACCTAAAAGCACAACCACATAATTGAATTGGTTCAATAAACTTTGTGACACATTTTAAAAAGGATATATCATACACCATAACACAATGATCATCTTGCTTTAAATAAGAAACCCCATGTTTACCGTTTAATCATCTTTCAGATATTTCAGAAGAAATGAACAATAGTATGTTAATTGACTTGTTCTCTTCCTCTGAAAATTTGATATGGTCTGAATATTTAAGATGTGTTCTGATTTGAATCTGGACAATTTTTTGTCTTGTACTCCATCCCGTCAAACTTTTTAGGCTTCTTAAAACTACTTGCATTCATAATTTCATATAACGTCAGAAAATTTAAACACGAACTTTATCTATATATGAAATCAGTGTATAAATTCCATTGTTATAGTTTTTCCATGCATTCTAGCACTTCAATAAATTAAGTTCATCATATTTTTTTACATATTAATTTAGGAAAAGATTAGTTAAATATGTAGCAATAAGAAATTTTTTATCTCTGCATTTAAAAAAATTCACGTCCGGAGAATTACTATTATTAGTTTATTTGTTTGCCAATTTTAATTTGTTTATAGATTCACACAAAGTTAAAGTTCTTTTTTTTTAAATTTAATCTAACTTTTGAGAGAAGTGGTTTTGAACTATATATTGATTCCCTTGATCCCTTTACATGAAAGTCACGTTATTAATAATTCATATCTTTCCATAGAAGTTACTTGTATTGACGTACATACAAATAGGGAAATTTATTATTAACCCTTTCTGGTTTGATCATAATTACTAGTACAACCTTGTAATTTTAGATTCCAGCTATATATCCCTTGAACTTTGATTCTATTTGTTGTCTCCCCCTTCCATCAAATCCTATTAAGAAAATAAACGACTCAATAACAAACATCGTTAAATAGACACTGTTTTGACCAATATACCCTTATTAAGTTATTATTGATTATTTGTTCAACACACTCATTACTTTTTCTAATGCTACATGTGTAATTGTTGCTTGAACTCTTCGCAACTCACTTGGTTTAAGAGTAGGACATAAGCCCCACAACAGAACAATGTTTTGAAAATCGACTTCCCTGAATTGAATTTTTGGAGTTGCACTAGAAGCCAAACAGTCCGCTTTCTAGTTCTCAGATCAATGATGTCTCCACTAGCCCAACTAAGATATAGATCAAATGTTGATGTAGTTTTGAAATTTATTTTCATCAGCTAGACTAAGTGGGGTTGAATACATGCCAAGATCAACTCCCAGACGATTGCACGGCTCAACAAATATGCATCCTGTCAACTAAGGTTCTTCAATTTTCTTTTAATGAATGAGTCTGCGAAGTTGGGGAAAAAAAGTAAAAAAGGAGAAAAGCATAGAAACTAAGCGTAAAGCAGTGATGCATGAGAAACGAACCCCTCAATTCATTGTTGGAATACTATTTGAAATAAATATGGGAAGTTCTTGTTTTACACTCCGTAGTTAAGGTAGTTTATATTAATAGAGGACATTTTGGGAAATTCCTCTAACAATTAACCATCAAATTAACTTAAAGTTAACGGAAGGGGGAGATTCCATATATAATAAAAGCTCAGGGGGTTAATAATCCAGTTCTAAAAGTACAAGGTTGATTTTATAATTATGACCAAACCTTAAGGAGCTAATCATTATTTTCCCATACAAATATGATTCACTTGAACATTAAATGAAATATTCTGATACCGAGTATGCAAGAAATAAATTTAACTACTATTGAGTATTGACGTTATTCTCGCTTATTTTTTAATAATAAAAAGTTACCAGCTACAAATGTTGTGCTGCCTCACAAAAATGGCCCCACTACCAAATAAAAAATGGCCTTATATATATATAAAATGGCCTTATATATATAAAAAATGCATAATAATAATAGCCAAAATGCTTGAATATCAAGGTTTATATTTATCCAAAACGGTTTTTCCCTTATTCTTTCAAACGCTGCAATATGCAGCGTTAGGGATGCAAATGAGCCGAGCCGCTCGTGAGCCGAGCCGCTCGTGAGCCGCTTGTGAGCTACTCAGTCAAAGCTCGAATCGAGATCGGTCAAACTCGAGCTCGAGCTGAGCTCATGCCGGCTCGTTAAGCAGTCGAGCCATAAACGAGCCTACTAATTTTAGGCTCGTTGGCTCGCTAGCCAGCTCGCAAGCCTAGTATATATAATATATAGTCTAAATTAATACACACACACACACACACATATATATACACACAAATATTCCGGTCAGGAATTTCCTGACCGGAGCCCCGTCCGGCCTCCTCCATTTGGGGGCCTTCCCAGTGGTATTTTTTGCTCAAATTTTTTGTGTATGTACCTCATCACGTCTAGTTCATCCATACCAAATTTGAGCAAACAATTCAATCGGGAAGGTCGTCAAATGATTTTTGCAAGTTAACTGGTCCGGAAAATACAGAGCCCCGTCCGGCCTCCTCCATTTGGGGGCCTTCCCAGTGGTATTTTTTGCTCAAATGTTTTGTGTATGTTCCTCATCAAGTCTAGTTCATCCATACCAAATTTAACCAAAAATTCAATCGGGAAGGTCGCCAAATGATTTTTGCAAATTAACTGGTCCGGAATATGTATTTTCCGGACCAGTTAACTTGCAAAAATCATTTGACGAGCTTCCCGATTGAATTTTTTGCTGAAATTTGGTATGAATGAACTAAACTTGATGAGGAACATACACAAAAAATTTGAGCAAAAAATGCCACCGGGAAAGCCCCAAAAGAAGGAGGCCAGACGGCGCTCTGGTCAGGAATTTCCTGACCGGAAGATTACTCTATATATATAATACCGATTCATAAATGTATATGAGGACCGGAGAGATATTATTAATTATAAAGTAATTTAACAAAAATAATCAAATTTTCATCCACTATTTCTTCATGGTTTGACCACTTTGATTTATATTAGAAGTACAACTAGGTGGTGACTTGAAGTTAGGAATATATATTGTTTATTTTCCCGTAAGTTTTTGTTGTTGGGCATGTAAATTGCAATTTGCAAATGTTAAGCACAAATATTTAAACACTGTTTCATACTTGAGCTCGAGTTCGAACCCAAACTTTCGAGCTAATTAACTTGTAACTTCTGAACGAACCAAAATTTTCGAGCCTTATCGAGCCATGTTAATATTTGCGAGTCGAGCTCGAGCCCGGATTTTTTAAGCTCGTTCGAGCCGAGCTCGAGCTCGAGCCAATACAATATATTCGAGCCCGAGCTCGCGCGAACCTACATAAACTCGGGCTCGGCTCGGCTCGTTTGCACCCCGATGCAGCGTGTTGAAAGGTGAAACGCTAGAAACTAAACATGGGCAAAATTAAAATTTGTAATGTATTTTAAGGGTGCTCTAATTTACTTCTAAAATCAGTTGTTTTAGAAGTTGGGGGAGACTAGCTTCTGAAAATTGATTTTGATTTTACTTTTGTTTTAAAAAAGAAGCAAAAGTGCATTGTAATGATCACAATATATAATTGAATATCAAAATGCATCAAACTACTCCATGTATCATTATTATACGGAGTATCATAAATCAAAATATGTTTTACTGATTTTAGTTTAATTTGGGAGATAAAGGGTTATGAATATATTGTTTGGAAAAGCTTTTTTCAATTGTTGAAGATTCCAAGTTGAACGAACGACCGCTTGTTCTTAGATTTTCTCAAGAACATTAAATAGGGAGCCAGGTAATACTTCGTATATTATACTTAGCTTGAATTCTTGAAAATTATTCAAATATGACTTAAAACCATTGTATATTTTAAAATATGACTGTCATCATATCTTATTTTTATTTTCAAAATATAACAAGTGACTGCTATGTTTTGACAATACCACACTTTAAACATGATAATATTTTTCAAACTTGACAGTAATTACTCTTATCAATAATAAAAATATTACAACTTTATTTTGAAATTTTCAACTTTTTTACTCCTATGTCGGGATTCTCCTAGATTCTTCTATCACATAGAAAGTATCAGCAACCACAGTAATATTTAATAAGCATTTGATAGTTTAGCTAATTTATTAGATTTGTTCTTACTCCATTTGATGGGTTATGGAACCCACAATATTTTCCTAGATTCTTCGATCACTATTATTTTGTAAGTTTCTTCAAAGCTTATCGTGAATTGAATGGATCAAACATGATTTTATAATCGAAGTACTCAGTATTTATTTAAAGCACGACCGGAATTTTTTAGTTGGAGAGCCCCAGATCAGAAACCGTCCAAATTACACAAGATCAACAAGATCAACCTTAAACAGACAAGACCAAATTAAACTTAAACAGATCAAACCAGATCAACGTTCGTAATTATAAAATATACTGAGGCCAGATGTTTACCAGACCATAACATTCCAGTTCAGACCAGACCAAAATTAAACAGACCAGATCATACTAGACTTAAATAGATCATATCAGACCAAACCAGCAAATTGCGGTCAAAACATCCTTAATGATTATATTTTGAAAAGTTTTTTCTGTTTGTTTAGAGTATGTTATGTTTATATAAAAAGTTTTTATAATACGATAGTATATGTCTCAAAAATCATAATTATAGATTTTTGATCTGTACACTACAAGACAATAGAGGAGTTTGAGTTATTTCTGTGACCATTAATTAGGTGATTTGGTTTGAGAGTTTCAATTTATTGTGTTTGGTTCCAATTTATTGTAACCGTTATAAATAGAAATGTAATTGCAAACCAGATAATGAACTTTTATAGTTTGTGTGATTGTTGGACTATGATTGTTGGACAAATATAAACGGAATATTTGAATCGGTCAATCAGATACATGTAATTATTTATAAGAGAAAAGAGGCAAATAAGGCAACATACTGACAAAAAAAAGGTCAATGTTGAGGTTTAGTCCCGTAGATCCGGAAGCCCAACATAAACTTCGGATATTAAGGACGATGGATTCGGTATAAAAGTAAATAATAAATATAAAGGGTGTATGAACTAGCTATTTTTACGTGGAAACCCGGAAATGGAGAAAACCACGGGACTTTTTAGGCTAACGTCCAAGCCCGCTCTTTCTCATT